TTGGACCAGCAGTCCAAAAAATAAAACTTTTTCAGTTTTAATGATTGAAATACTAATTACAAACTCACTTTGGCAGCGTATATACTAAAGTTGAAACACTAATTAGAAAATTCAGTCTAAATGAACATTACAATTCATATTTAACAAAAATGACTATGGTCACTTCAAGTAAGAGGTGGTCAATACACATAAACATTACGTTTTTGCTTGGGGAATCATACTTGCTTTCAAGTTACACATTATTTTATTTAGGTGATATTTACAAACAAGATTTATTCATGGTGGAAAAACCACTACACTTCTCAGTGTCTTAGGCTGTATCTAAGTGATGCCACAATAAACACAACTTATTTAAAAATTTAGTCATTAATATTAAATTGCATAGAAAAATATTCAGAACATATTATATACAAAACAACTGGTTTTAAGATAGTACACACACAATGGCTCCAATCATATAAAAATGCACGTGTACATTTGTATACAAATCAATATGTCAATATAACTGGAACATGTGCATATACAGTAATACGGAAGTGACCAAAAGAGTATACACCCCAAAAGTACATGATTAAGTGAAATAAATATATATGGCTCTATTTTTGAACTAGACATTAAAGTCACAATAATAAAATCAATTTAAAATTTCTTACTTCATTTTTTCCATCTGAAAATTATTTTGACAAATTAAGAACTTAGGCATTTAAGAATTTAGACCATGTCTTAAACAAATGTCCTTTCTCCATTTTTAACCAGATTGTAAGGAAGTATTGTTTGTGGGAGCTAGCAGCAGTATTTGGGGGAAAATAAGCAACTAAACAAGTAATACCATCTCAGTTTAATGTGGAGGACAGATATCAGTTTTAGGTTCAAAAAGTACTCCAATCTAGCCTAGATTAGAATTATTATTATTATTATTATTATTATTATTTTTCTAGAAAAAAAAATAACCAAAACTGAGGTTTTAAACTGTGTAAGACATCAGAGAGAAATTTCTCGACAGGATCAATGGTGATTAGGAATTGTATGGTTTACTCCACTCTTGTTTGCGTGTTTTAACAAAAACAGCAAGTTAGGTGTTACTCACTTTGGGACCTTGAAGTCCTGGTTTTCCCGGAGGACAAATACAGGGAGCCGGAGTTGAACCTACATCACTGGGACCGTTAAGGCACTACAAAGAGAAAAATGGAAACGGACAACAAGCATGGAAAGATACACAGGAACATGCACACACAGGTTTATGCATTTATATATTTGTGTAAAAGGGTAAAAATAACTTACGTTCGCTTTTGAGTTTTATTTAGCCCAACCCAATAGGAAATTACAAATCATAAAAATCCATAGATATTAAATACATTGAAGTTACATAAAAATGGGTTCTATTTGTCTAACATACATACTTACAGCTGTTGGAAAAGAGCTAAACAGTCCCACAATACAAATATCACCTTAAGGGGAACAATAGTATCCAGGCTTACCTCTCCATTCTGAAAGAAAAACAACAAATGTGTTTTAAAATGTTTTTAATAAAATTTATAAATTATTAACCTAATTTACAAATATTTCACTGATTAGAGATATATGAAATCTGAAAAACAACAAGAGCCAAAATATTTGCCTGCATTTATCCTAAAAACTCACCTATCTATACATGTTACTACTCCATTCATATAGGAGGATACAGGAAGGATACGTTTTCTTAAGATGAGTAGAAGAAGAAAATTAAAACATCAAAGCTGCTTGATATAATGGCCATGCAAGATCAAAAATACCTCCAGATGAGATTTATATGCTGTCTTGAAATTTCAGGAAATCGTTTAAAAAAAAAAAAAAAACAGAAAAAAATGCTGAAACACATCTGAGCAAGTCACAAACTACATGCATTAAAATTTTGCATTTTAGAAGAGCTTCTTAAAAAACAGACTGCATTTTATTGAATAACATACAATTTTAAAGGACATCAACTTTCCAAACAATAAAAAATTAGATTAAAAAAATTACAAGGTTGGATTGATGGTGCAAAAGTCAAAAGGGCCACAGAAAGTCACAGCTGAGAGTAAAACACGAGACATTAAAACATCAAATGGAAGTGAAAATTCAAAATCTGCAATCTAAAGCTGTGCTTCATCATATGAGAGGATAATAGTAATGATCATATGTGAACGCAGAGAGAGACATCAATAAATGAAGTATGCACAATGAATTCTCAAATGCAATGACTTATTAATTCTTTTAAAAGGATTTATATTTCAAGTCATAAAAATCTAAAATAAAAATGAACATGCTTAAACTATTATTTATTTAGAAAACCCAGAATGAATCCTTTCTAGAAAAGTCTGTTTGATTACAGATCTTTTAAATGTGCTGTTCTGTGTCCTCAAGGTTTTCAAACATGTGGATTCATACATTATTCCATTTGATAGGAAAGAGAAGTTGATGACAACACAACTACACACTTTTTTTTTTTGAAGACAGGGTTTCACCATGTTGGTCAGGCTGGTCTTGAACTCCCGACCTCAGGTGATCTGCCCACCTTGGCCTCCAAAGTGCTTGGATTACAGGCATGAGCCATGACTCCCGGCCAACTACACACATTTTAAAAACTATGACTGACTCAAATATCACTGGGAATCCACAATGTTAGAAAGTTGTACAACATTCTACCATATTTCCACTAGCAGTAATACACCAATTTTTTGTGCAGGAGAAAGGAGATTGATTACACACACACACACACACACACACACACACACACACACACACACACACAAAGATGCTATGAATTTTAGCTTATAACCTTTTTGCTCCTAATACATTAATGAAAATAAATAGAAACACTGCTTTTATTCTAGAACTATAATAAAATCCTACTTAAGTATCAACACCAAGAAAAGTATTCATTATTTCACTGACACTTTGAGAAAAAAAAAGTCAGTAAAAAGGAAAAATAATTATCTCCAGCTCTTCAGAACTGTACTGTTTGGAGTATTCTGTCCACATGTGTAATATACACTATTATATTGTTAAATTATACATAATTACATTAAGTATAATAATGTATTTCACACACTGACATTCAGACAAAGCATCCTACATTTTTCTGGAGCAGGTCTCATTTTGCTTTAGCTGAGCAGAATAGTCACAGTCATAGATGATGGAAATAAACATTTCCTTGTGATCTTCAACTCACACTTGCACACTAACACATAATTTCATTTCAATTATAAGCCTCAAAATATGTTTCACTTCATGTAACTTCACTTCCACTAACATTTAAAAATAAAATTTACTCTACTTATTAAATACTCAGATATTATCTGCTTTTTATTTATTGCTTTGAAAGTACAAAAGCAACATCTGGGAAAAAATAATCCCTCCTACTTACAAATCCAGGAATCTCACATGCCGTCTCCCGGTTGTTCTGTTCTGGGTCACAGTAGATTCGCAACTTTTGGACATCAAACTAAGAACAAACACAAAACCAGTAGAGTTAAAGTTGAGGCACAAGCGAATTGTTTTGTAAGAGCAACTCAGATACACAGAAACCTCCATGATGGTTAGTAATTGTGTAAGGTTTACATCACAGCACTTAGCTAAAACAAAAAAACAGAAAATTTGAATATTTAACATACACTATAAAGATGTGATACAACATAACTCCTAAAGAAAAATTCCCTAGCACCAAGAGAATATCTCCAATTTTCTCCAGGAACTCAGTGAGGCTTTTTTAGTACTCATGTATTAAAAGCTAATCTAAAGGGCATTCTGTAGGACACTTAAAACCTTTCCCAGGTTTTCTGTATCTATCCTACATCAATATAACATTCCTGATTGTATAGGGCGGGCCCAAGAAGCCATCTTTCATCTTTACTATTTAGATGCTGACATGGAGAGTTGTATGATTAGTAGGTCCAGCACCTGTTAATGTTTAAATATTTACTACAATTTGACATGTAGCATTAATTCATAGAGATCGCATGTGTAAACACACATTTGAAAATGAGAGTCTTCCTTTAATAGAAACAGTGCAGGAGGGACATACCTTTTCAAATAAAGGATTTTTCTAGAAATGGCTTTTACAGACACATTTCTGCATCCAAACAAAGATACTCCAGTTTAAGGAGATATCAAAAAAGTCAAAACAAAACTTTTGTAGGTATAATTTGAACATACCACAATTGCTTTATTTTTAAGAAACAGATTTGTTTGTGAAGAATCCTGACATGAATTAATCTAATTTTATCCTTGCAGCTGTAAAGACAGTTTTATAGCCCCACTTACAAATGAAACTATATTCTCTTTTCCACATTCATTACTTAAACTATGTTTCTCTTGGGGAACATTAAATTAAGGTTTCCTAGAAATGTAAAATTCTACCCTAAACCCAGGGGAACATTTTTCTACATATTCTTATAAAAATATTAAGTCCAATTCTGCATTATAATACATATGCTTACACATAATTTCACTAATGAGCTGAACACATTTTGGCAAACATAAGGGAATTCATAACTAAGTTAAATACAATTAAATATGGTGAAAACGATTACACAGGAGAGTAAAAGTTTCCTTTTATATACTTCAAAGAGCAAATCATTATTTATCTACCTGAACAGTTTCTTCTTTTCCAGAATATTTTCCAATTTGGGTTTGCCCATTGATGAAGATCCCTAAAACCGGATGTAAGGGCTTGTTTTCAATTTGTTGGTCATCAATATACAGAGTTACATCTTGCTCTGTTACTAAGAGACGAATTTGGTGCCAGCCTTCATCAAACAACATCTACAGGAAGAAAGTGTGGCAGATTCATAAATAAAGCCGCTAGCAATATTTTATTTTCTTTGTTCTTACTCCCTTGCTCCTAACCATTGCTGAGAAACTTCAGGCCACAGAGACTGACTGTATTATTTATAAATTCACCCTGATCCAAGCTGGACCATATATGCTACCCATGAATTCTTTCATTAATCCTTATCCAAGTTCCCATTCTGTATCTCAAAGAAGTTGTGCCAAACAACTTACTAAAGCAATGCTCCCTCAAAATCATAAATGAGTTTAATAATTGCTGAATCCAAATGGCTTTTTTCCTTCCTCATATTGTTTATTTCATTGCAACTCTGGGCTCCATAACTAATCAATCTTCCTTGATATTCTTACTCAACCTCTGGGATTCAAACAATCTTGATCATTTTCACTTCTTCCTCTTTAGTTCCTCATTCTCTCTCTCTGTCTTTGAGTGTTCTTCTCCCTCAACCTATCCTTTTATGAGGGCATTTCTCATAGGTCTGTTCTGGGCATTTTTCACTCTCTGACTCATTCATTCCTCCAGGCCAATTATCGCTTCTACGTAATAACTCCCATATCTACACTAACAGCCTGTACCTCCCCTATGTATGGGTTCTATAATTTAATACTAGCTAGGATAATTTTTTGAGGATGTTTCACAACTAGCCTAACAAGGTATGTAACAAAATAAACTTGAACTATCCCCCAGAATTTTCTTCCTGACCCTATTTCCTTCATAATAGCATCCTCTGAACATTAGTTTCTTTCTTTGCATTGCTGTAACTAACCAGATGCAGAGTTTTACCTAAAATATTTCTTCCACATGACTCAATTTTATTTCCTCATTTTCACTGTCACTGCCATAATTAGGGCTCATGGAGCTCTTGCTTTGTTTCAACAATATTCAAATCTATCTCGATCTCTGACACTTTCATTTCCAAGCCATCCTTCAGATCACCACTAGAATTAATCTCTCTCCCTATAGTTCTGTTAGGGGAGATGTTCCATCTTGTTAATTACTGTATCTCCAAGACCTGGCCTAACTTTAGGATAAAGTTGAAAGTATTATTTCTGGACAGAAGGAGAAAAAGAAGTAGAGAAGATTGCTTTGACTATGACACACTTATGGTCAAGAACTTCTAATGAAACATTTACTGAATAAAGTACAAACTACATTATATGGCTTTCCAGGTCCCTCATAAATTGGGCTTACACCTAGAGAGCCTTTTCTTCCATGCATGTTATATTCTAAAACAGGGGAGCCACTTTGCATTCTCTAAATAAAAACCCTGCATTTTGTTACACACATGACTACTCAATACTAAATGATTTGTTTAATGTGCCCTTATATCCATCTCTATCAAAATGCTATACATACTTCAAAGCCCAGTTCAAAAACTATTTTATTTATGCAGATTTTCTTATACTTTGTTAGAACAAATTTTCCCTTCCACACTCCACTAACACTTTGTACTTCTATTTGATACCAGTTGCCATGAATATCCTATTATAAATAAGCTCCTTGAAGGTAAGAAACATGCTTTATTCATTTACCATTTCTTACAGAATCTGGCACACTGGCTTTAATGAATATAGCAGACAAGAAATTTTTTTAATGTAATATACTTACTAAATGAAGAAATTGCATACTATATATTACCACAGACATTTCCTAAACTGTGTAATATACCTTTAGACTACCATAATTATGAGTAAAACTTTATTGCTTTAATTATTGCATCTGTATTCTGAAAACATGACTCGGAATATAAACTTTTTTAAGTTTATATACTCTATTAAATATATATTCCATTTGAAGAAATAAAATATTCTCCCAAATTTCATACCTATAATCTACCTGGTATTTAATATTCTAATAGATATGTCTTTATGTAAATATCCTGTAGAAAATGGCAGTGTAAAACAGACCAATATGGAGTTTGAAGTGAACTAGACCAAAATTTAATTCCTGACATCATCACTTATTAGCTGTTCTACTTTGAGGGAGAACTTAACATCCTTGAATATTAGTTTGTCTGCAAAATGGGAGCAATGGTTTCTTTACTGGATGGCTACTGTAATTAAATGTACCTCGCACCTACTAGTAGGCACTCAAAATATGTCAGTTCCCCTTAGCATTTGTCCCCATATTGATCAAGAAACAATTTTCCTTTCTCTGTTAGTTTTCTTCAACACAGAAACATTAAAATATAAAGTTAAAATATTTCCAGTTATGTTAAAATTATAGCCCTCTTTTCCCCAACAAACATAAACCCAATGGTGTCTCCCCATGAATATCATAACCATGGTATTATCCCAGGCATCTTTACCTTAACTTGCGGGTTAGCAAAGGTAACCACTTGTGAGCCATTAATTACGCTGGTTGTTGTAAATAATAATGTTTTTTCCACACCATTTAAGGTAACTGCTATTTGTGGGCTTCCATCAATAGTTAATATTCTCCATAAATCCCAAATTTTCTTGACCTTAAATCTTTGAGTAGACACAAATACATATGATGGAGGAAGACCTTCTGGGAAAACATTGCTAGAAAAAGAAGAGCATGTGTAAGCTTAAAGAATTCTTGACATGTCCATAGGCATATCCCCCCAAAAGAGTTATGTCAACATATAATGTATACCTTGTGGGTTCTGATAAATCAACTTTTGATGTTACTTCATATCCTTTTAACTTTGTTGGTGAAAGCTGTATTCTTTTCTTAACCTTTTTCTTTACATCTAAACCTAAAAGAATGTCAAATCCCTTCTCATCACGAGCTGCCACTGGAATTCGTGTTGGACAGACAGATTCTATGAAGCAAAGGCAATAAAAGTTGATTAATCATGGACTACCCAAACAAAAAAAGAAAAAGCAAGGGAGAAATATTAGACAACATAATATTCTATAACTAGAATTATAAAATCTACATATGTATACAAATATATAGTATATAAATGTATATGAATACATTTTCTGAGAAAATGTAGAAGTATTTTACACATTTGACAGTGAAATCTTAATATTCTTTTTTCCCTAAAAAATGAGGAATAAAGGTAAAACAAAAATATAAGATAAATATTTTGTTAATGTATTGTCTTTAACAACAAATTGAGACAACAGGCAATATGAGACGATCTAATACTTATGGAACAGGAAAACAATGGAACAGGATTCATGATTCTCATCCAGGATTTCCTATTAACTAGTCATACAACCCTGGATAATGCTCTTAATTTACTGAATTCAAAGATGAACATTAAGATTTTTTTCTTGCATTCTTAGAATTTAAGGAGTAAAAAGTATTTTCTATTCTTGATTTTCTTTTCAGTTCAAGCAGCTTATAATTCTACAGCTCAAATATCATTGGTCTATCTCACTGGAAAAAAACTTAACCTGGGTCCTATCTATTCATGAAAGTTCTTTAAATTAACACATTATCTCATCTAGAATTAACTACATATTAATCATACTTATAAAGAATATTTTCCTTAGAATAATCATCAGCATTACATAGTCAGCTATTTAAGTAATAAGTATGATATACTTTAGCCAAAGATATAATAAATGAAAAAATTTACTAAAGATGTTGAATAGCAGCCTTTAACAAGCAGAGAGAAAAGAATCAGCAAACTCAATAATTAGTCATTTGAAATTATCCAGTCAGAGAAACAAAAAGAAATGAGAAAAAAATGAAGAAAGCCTAAGAGATTTATGCAACACCATCAAGCACACCAATATATGCATTTTGGGAGTTCCAAAAAAAGAAAAGAACAGAGCCAAAAGGGGACCAAAAGCTTATTTAAATAAATGAGGCCAACAACTTCCCAAATCTAGAAAAGGATATGGACACTGAAATTCAAGAAGCCTAATATATGCTAAGCTGAACCCAAAGAAATCCACACTGAAACACATTATAATCCAATTGTCAAAAGTTAAAGCCAGAAATAACAGTTTGAAAGCAGCAAGAAAAAAAAGAGACTTGTCATATACAAGGGAACCTTGATAAGTCTACTAGCAGATTTCTCAGTAGAAGCATTGCATGCCAGGAGCAGGATGACATATTCAAAGGGCTGAAAGAAAAAAACAACCTGCTAACCAACAACGCTATGTCTGGCAAAACTGTTCTTCAAAAATGAAGGAGAAATAAAGACTTTTCTAGATAAACACAAGCTGAGAAAGTTCATCACCATCAGACCTGCCTTATAAGGAATTCTTAAGAAGTCATTCAAGATCAAACAAAAGTATACTAAACAGCAACATAAAAGTATGAGATAGTAGAAATTTTTCTGATAAAAGTAAATATATAGACAGACACAGAATATTATAATATTTTAATAGTGATACACACATGACTTTTAATTCTGATGTAAAAGTTAAAAGACAAAAGCACTTTTAAAAACCATAACTTTAAAAATAGGTTAACAGATACAAATTATAAAAAGATGCGATTTGTGGCATCAGTAAGGAGAGGCAGTAAAGAATAGAGTATTTATATGTAATTTAACTTTATACCAACTTAAAATAAATGATCATAATTACATGATGTTTTATGTAATACCTATGGTAACCTCAAAGAAAATAGCTATGGAAGATAAATAAAATGATAAAGGACATCAACACAAAAAGAAGCAATAAAACACAAAGGAAGACATTCAAAGAAAAAAGATGGACAAAAAGCTACAGGAAAGACAGAAAATCATTACCAAAATGTCAATAGTTTTTCCCTATCTGTAATTACCTTAAATGTAAGTTGTTATACTTTTTAATCAAAGTACATAGAAAGGCTAAATGGATTGGAGCTACAGATCTAAATATATACTGTCTATGAAAGACTATACCAAATACTAAATATATACTGTCTATGAAAGACTATACTGGGCAACATACTAAAATCCCATCTCTACAAATACAAAAACAAAAGCAAGCAAAAAACAACAAAATTATCCAGGCATGATGGCATGTGCTTGTAGTCACAGGTACTCAGGAAGCTAAGGTGGGAAGAATGACTGAGTGTGGGAGGTTGAAGCTGCAGTGAGCTATGATCATGCTACTGCACTCCAGCCTGAGCAACAAAATAAGACCCTGTCCCAGAAAAGAAAAAAGGAGAGGAGAAGAGAGGAGAGGACAGGAGAGGGGAAGGGAGGGAGGGGAGAGAAGGGGAGGAGAGAGGAGAGGAGAAGAAAAGGACTCACTTTAAATGTAAAGACATATATAGGCTGTAACTGAAAAAATGAAAAAAGATACTCCATCTAAATGGTGGCCAAAAGACATCAGATATGTCTATACTTATATTACGCAGTACAAAACTATAACAAGAGACAAAGAAAGATATCCTATTGTGATAAAAGGGTTAATTCACCAGGAAGATATAATTATGATTATATATGCAGCCAACATCATGCCCACAAAAATATGAAGTAGACATTTACGAAACTGAAGGAGAAATAGACAAACACAATATTAGTAGAGGATTTCAATAGTGATTAGAACATTCAAACAGAAGATCAATAAGGAAACAGAAGAGTTGAACAATACTATAGACCAAATGAACCTAGCAGACACATATAGAATATTCCACCCAACAGCAGCAGAATACACATTCCTTTCAATTGCACATGAAACATTCTCCAGGACAGACCACAGGTTAAACCACAAAACATGTCTTAAGAAGTCTGAAATCATACCAGTAGGTTTTCTAACCACAATGGAATAAAACTAAAAATTAATAACAGGAGGAAAATTGAAAAATTCACAAATATGTACAAATTTAATAACACACTATTGAACAACCATTAGGTCAAAGAAGAAATCAGAGACAAAGTTAGAAAATACCTGGTGACAAACAAAAACACATCATCCAAAATTTATGACATGCAGGGAAACAGCACTAAGAGAGACGTTTATAGCAATAAATGCCTACATTGAAAAAGAAGGACCTGAAATAAACAACTTTATACCTCAAAGACCTATACAAAGAAAGACAAACTAAGTCCAAAGTTAGCAGAAGGAAAAAAAATAATTTAGATTTAAGCAGAAATAAATAAAATAGAAAATAGAAATCAACAAAGCTAAGAGTTGCTTTTTTGCAAAGATCCACAAAATTAACAAACCTTTAACTAGATTAAGTAAAAAGGGAGAAGACTTAAAACAAGAAGTGAAAGAAGAGATATTACAATTTATGCCACAGAAATAAACAAGATTTTACTAATATAAACTATATATCAACAAACTGATAACCTAGATGAAATGAGTAAATTCCTAGAACATATAACCTAACAAATCTGAAACATGAATAAACAAAATGTCTGAACAGACCTATAACTAGAGATTAAAGGAGATTAAATCAGCAATCAAAACACTCCCCCAAAGAAGCCCAGTACCGGGTGGCTTTAGTGGTGAATTCTACCAAACATATAAAGAAGAATTAATATCTAACTCTCTTAAGCTCTTTCAAAAAATTGAAGAGGAGTGAACACCTCTAAACTCTTTTTATAAGGCCAGCGTTAACCTGATATCAAAGCCAGAAAAAGATACCATAATAAAATAAAACAAGTTGATATCCCTGATGAATATAGATGTAAATATCCTCAACAAAATACTAACATATTGAATTTCACAGCAAATCAAAAACATCACGCACCATGACCAAATGGGAATTATCCTGGTATGAAAGAGTTTGACATATAAAATCAATAAACGTGCCATTGATAGAACAAAGGATAAAAATAACATGATCAATCAGGGAGGCTGGCAAGACGGTCGAATAGGAACAGCTCCAGTCTGCAGCTCCCAGTGAGATCAACGCAGAAGGCGGGTAATTTCCTCATTTCTAACTGAGGTACCTGGCTAATCTCATTGGGACTGGTTAGACAGTGGGTGCAGTCCATGGAAGGGAGCTGAAGCAGGAGGGGGAGCCAAAGCAGGGTGTGGCATTGCCTCAACTGGGAAGCACAAGGTGTTGGGGAACTCCCTCCCCTAGCCAAGGGAAGCCCTGAGGGACTTGCCATGCAGAATGGTGCACTCTGGCCCAGATACTATGCTTTTCCCATGGTCTTTACAACCCGCAGACCAGGAGATTCCCTCCTGTGCCTGTGCCACCAGGGCCCTGGGTTTCAAGCACAAAAGTGGATGGCTGTTTGGGCAGACATTGAGCTAGCTGCAGGAGGTTTTTGTTCATACCACGGTGGCACCTGGAATGCCAACAAGATAGAACAATTAACTCCCCTGGAAAGGTGGCTAAAGTCAGAGAGCCAAGAGATGTGGCTCGGCAGATCCCATCCCCTTGGAACCCAGCAAGCTAAGATCCACTGGCTTGCAATTCTCACTCCCAGTACAGCAGTCTTAAGGTGATGTGGGACACTCGAGTTTGGTGGCATGAAGGGCATCCACCATTACTGAGGCTTGAGTAGGCGGTTTTCCCATCACAATGTAAACAAAACCACCAGGAAGTTCTAATTGGGCAAAACCCACCACAGCTTGGCAAAGCCACTGTAGCCAGACTGCCTCTCTAGATTCCTTCTCAATGGGCAGGGCATCTCCAAAAGAAAGGCAGCAGCCCCAGTCAGGGGCTTATAGATAAAACTCCCATCTCCCTGGGACAGAGCATCTGGGGGTAGGGGTGACTGTGGGTGTGGCTTCAGCAGACTTAAACATTTCTGCCTGCTGGCTCTGAAGAGAGCAGCAGATCTACCAGCACAGTGCTTGAGCTCTGCTAAGGGACAGACTGCCTCCTGAAGTGGGTCCCTGACCCCCATGCCTCCTGACTGGGAGACGCCTTCCAGAAGGGGTCAACGGACACCTCATACAGGAG